GGAGTGACCAACTTCGGGCCCTACAAGCAGCTCTTCCTGCAGACCTTCTCCCGGGGCCGCACGACGTTCCAGGCGCTTCCCAGCCTCCCCGCTATGTACGGATACCCGCACCGCAACTGGTGAGCACCGGGACGCGGATTTTCCGGGCTGTTCCTGGGGAGAAATCCCGGATTTGTGGGGTTGGGAATGAGCTCAGCCAGTCTGAGCCGGGCGCTCAGAACTCCAGGAATTCCTTGGGTGGCTGCAGGGATGGGAAGGAGACGGAATTCCCGGTTTGTGGAGAGAGATGTGGGGGGCTGAGCTCAGGGCGAAATCCAGGGAACGCCCAGGGCTGAATCCTCATGGAATGAGGGGCTGGGAAGCGTCCAGGGAATGGAGCTGGAACGGCTGGAAAAGGGAATGGAGAATCCTGAGGGAGCTGGCAGGGCTCAGCCTGGAGAAAAGGGGGATCCAGGGGGAATTTGGGATTTTCCAGGGGGGATTTGGGATCTTCCAAGGGGGCATTTGGGATCTTAATTTTTCAGGAAGGAGGCCGGGCTGAAGAACGCGCTGCCGGCCGTGGGGCTGAAGCTGAACGACCTGATCCAGCGGCTGCAGCTCTGCTACCAGCTGACCACGGCCGGCAAGTTCGAGGAGGCCGTGGAGAAATTCCGGCTGATCCTCCTCAGCGTGCCCCTGCTGGTGGTGGACAACAAGCAGGAGATCGCCGAGGTAAGGGGATTCCTGAGGGGAAAAGCATGGGAATTTCTGAGGGGGAAATGGGGGATTGCTGAGGGGGAAATGGGGGAATTCCTGAGGGGGAAATGTGGGAATTTCTGAGGGGGAAATGTGGGAATTTCTGTGGAGGAAATATGGGAATTTCTGTGGAGGAAATATGGGATTCCTGAGGAGAAAAATTGGGAATTTTTGATGGGGGAAACATGGAATTTGTGAGGGGGAAATGTGGGAATTTCTGAGGGAGAAATGTGGGAATTTCTGAGGGGTAAATGGGGGATTGCTGAGGGGGGAAATATAGGATTTCCGAGGGGGAAATTATAGGATTCCTGAGGGGGAAATACGAGATTCCTGAGGGGGAAATACGAGATTGCTGAGGGGAAAATTGTAGGATTCCCGAGGGGGAAATATGGGATTCCTGATCCCAGGGTGTCCCCAAAGAAGGGTTTGATCCCCGGCTTTGTCCCGCAGGCGCAGCAGCTGGTCGCCATATGCCGGGAATACATCGTGGGGCTGTCCATGGAGATCGAGAGGAAGAAGCTGCCCAAGGAGACGCTGGAGCAGCAGAAGAGGATCTGTGAGGTGAGGGAATTCCTGAGGGAAAAATATGGGATTCCTGCCTTGAAAAACATGGAATTCCTGAGGGGAAAAATATGGGATTCCTGCCTTGAAAAAAATGGAATTCCTGATGGGGGAAACGTGGGATTCCTGCCCTGAAAAACATGGAATTCCTGAGGGAAATATGCGGGAATTTCTGAGGGGAAAAGGTGGAAATTTCTATGGGGAAATGTGAGACTTCCTGAGGGGGGAAATGTTGGAATTCCTGAGGGAAATATGCGGGAGTTTCTGAGGGGAAAAGGTGGGAATTTCTATGGGGAAATGTGAGAATTCTTATGTGGGGGAAATATGAGATTCCTGAGGCGGGAAAAATCTCACTGGAAATTTGTCATTCTGCCTTCAACGCAAACACAGCAGGGAAAAGAGGGATTCCCTGTCGCAATTCCCATTATTCCCGAGGATTTTGACCGGCTTTCCCGTGCTTTCCCTGGCAGATGGCCGCCTACTTCACGCACTCCAACCTGCAGCCCGTGCACATGATCCTGGTGCTCCGCACCGCCCTCAACCTCTTCTTCAAGCTCAAGAACTTCAAGAGCGCCGCCACCTTCGCCCGGCGCCTGCTCGAGCTCGGCCCCAAGCCCGAGGTGGCCCAGCAGGTGGGACCCCAATGGCCTGTCCCCAAATGTCCCCAAATGTCCCCAAGGGCCCTGTCCCCAAATGTCCCCAATGGCCCTGTCCCCAAACCCAGCAGGTGAGACCCCAATGGCCTGTCCCCAAATGTCCCCAAAGGCCCTGTCGCCAAATGTCCCCAAAGGCCCTGTCCCCAAATGTCCCCAATGGCCCTGTCCCCAAATGTCCCCAATGGCCCTGTCCCCAAACCCAGCAGGTGAGACCCCAATGGCCTGTCCCCAAATGTCCCCAAAGGCCCTGTCCCCAAATGTCCCCAAGGGCCCTGTCCCCAAATGTCCCCCAATGGCCCTGACCCCAAACTCAAGGTGAGGCACTCAGATGAGGCCCTCAAGTTGGGAAACACTGTTTTTGGGGTGTCCCTGTCCCCAAACCCCACTGTGACCCTCTTTGTGGTGTCCCCAAACCCCACCATGACCCTCTTTGTGGTGTCCCCAAACCCCTGCCATGACCCTTTGGGAATTTCTGAGGGGAAAGTGTGGGAATTTCTGAGGGGAATTGTGTGATTGCTGAGGGGAGAAATATGGGATTCCTGCCCTGGAAAACATGGAATTCCTGAGGGGGGAAATATGAGATTCCTGAGGGGGGAAATGTGGGATTCCTGAGGGGGAAAATGTGGGATTCCTGAGGGGGGTAATGTGGGAATTCCTGAGGGGGGAAATATGAGATTCCTGAGGGGGAAAATGTGGGATTCCTGAGGGGGGTAATGTGGGAATTCCTGAGGGGGTAATGTGGGATTTTCTGAGGGGATAATGTGGGAATTTCTGATAGGGTAATGTGGGATTTCCTGAGGGGGGAAATGTGGGATTCCTGAGGGGGGAAATGTGGGAATCATGAGGGGGGAAATGTGGGAATTCCTGAGGGGGGAAATGTGGGAATTCCTGAGGGGGTAATGTGGGATTCCTGAGGGGAAATGGGGGATTCCTGAGGGGGTAATGTGGGATTTCCTGAGGGGGGTAATGTGGGATTTCCTGAGGGGAAATGGGGGATTGCTGAGGGTGTCCCTGTCCCCAAACCCCCGTGACCCTCTCTGGGGTGTCCCCGTTCCCAGACGCGGAAGATCCTGGCGGCGTGCGAGAAGAACCCGGTGGACAGCCACCAGCTGAACTACGACCAGCACAACCCCTTCGACATCTGCGCCGCCTCCTACCGGCCCATCTACCGTGGCAAGGCCCTGGAGAGGTGTCCCCTGAGCGGCGCCTGCTACAGCCCCGAGTTCCGCGGGCAGATCTGCCGCGTCACCACGGTGAGGGCGGCCGGGGACGGTGGGGACAGCTGGGGACAACTGGGGACAGCCGAGGCTGGGAGCAACTGGGCCCAGGAGCTGCTTTCAGGGGTCACTGCTGTCCTTTGGGGGTCACTGCTGTCCTTTGGGGGTCACTGCTGTCCTTTGGGGCCACTGCTGTCCTTCAGGGGGACATTTTGGGGTTCCACAGGGGGTTTGGGGTCTTTCCCACAGGGGAGGCCTGGGGGAGTTGGGTCTGGAGGAGGCTGAGGGGGAATCTCATCCATCGGTGTAAATACCTTCAATCTCCATGAAAATACCTCAAAAATCCTCAGAAATCTCTGCAATATCTCCAATATCTGTGGAAATATCTCCAAAATCCCCAAAAATCTCTCTTCTGAGAGGGGATTTGGGCTCTGGAGCGTTTTTCCCACAAGGGAGGCCTGTGGGACTTGGGCCTGAAGGAGGCTGAGGGGGAATCTCATCCATTCATGGAAATATCTCAAATATCCCCTCAAATCCCTCAAATTCCCACACAAATCCCTCAAATTTCCACACAAATCCACAAATTCACACCCAAATCCCGCCAGGGGATCTCAGGCCACTCCCAAACCCTTCCCAGTACTCCCAGCAGAGGCCCAGCCACACACCCAACCCCTAAATCCCTAATTTTCACCCCTGAATCCCGAATTTCCACCCCTGAATCCTCCCTTTGTCCCTGCAGGTGACGGAGATCGGGAAGGACGTTCTGGGGCTGCGCATCAGCCCGCTCCAGTTCCGCTAGGAATTCTCCTGGATAGGGAAATTCCCAGTGCCCCATCCCAGCTTTCACCCCTGGGCCATTCCCATCCTCTCTTCCTGGTTTTTCCCCGCTCTGGAATGCCGGATTGAGGTTTTTCCCCACATTTAGAAGGATTTTTTTTTTTCCTTGTTCCCAGAGCAGTTTTCCTGTACTTTTATCCCAAATTTTTTCCAGAGGGGGAAGGGGGGGGCTCTTCCCAAATCCGGGTTGTGACACAACCAACTCTGCTCACGTCATAATTCCCAGAAACTGCTCGGAAAACCTGGGATTGGCTCTGTAAATCCCGAATCCAGGGAAATCCTGCTCCCTCTGGAAGTGCTCCGTGTTCCTCGACTCCTTCTGTTGTCGTCATGGCAACTTAGTGAGCTCCCCTCGTTAATAAACCTCGTTAATCACCTGGATTCTCCTGTTTGCAGCTCAGGACACACCAAATAAAAAACTGGAACTTAATCCCTTTTCCCAGCTCTGCTTGGAGAGCTGGGAATTTCCCAGAGGACAGGATCGGCACTCCTGGGCTGACTGGGAGCTGGGCGTGTTAATTAGTGGAGTGTAATTAACGCCTCAATTAACCCCGAGGGCTTGTCCTGCATTCCCAGGTGGAGTTTTGTCCCTTGGCGTTCCCGGCTTTGGCTCCAGGGCACGGAAAAGGCTCCGGGATTCCCAAATTTGGGTGGATCCTGATCCCTGCAAGATCCAGGGATGCAATTCTGGGGATTGTCCTGCTGGGAATGTCCAGGGCGTGGAATGAGGGACTGGAGCCAATGGAAAAGGGATTTGGGATCTGCCAGGGGGGATTTGGGATCTGATCCCAGGGAATGGGCAGGACAGGAAGGAATGGGCTCGAGCTGTGCCAGGGTGGGAAATTTGGGATGATTTTTCCATGGGAAAAGTGTTGGGAAGCAGCGGAAGGGGCTCAGGGAGGGTTGGATCCCATCCCTGGAGGGAATTCCTGGAATTCGGAGTGGGTAAGGATCACTTTGGGATTCTTCCCCCCCTCACTGATCCCAGAATCCCTCAGGGTCTTCAACCTTTTATTTATCCATAAAAAAGCAGGGAAAAAAGGGAATGGGGGCATTCCATCACTTCCAGCATTCCCTGAGCCGTTCCAGGGATCCAGGGCAGACCCGGCGCCTCTGGATTCAGGGGTTGGGGGATTTGAGGATCAGGGAGTCGTGGCAGGCCACGGCGATGCCCCCGATGAGGTTCAGGAATTCCTGGAAATCCAGCTGCCCGTCACTGTTCATGTCCAGCTTCTTCATCATCCTGTCCACCACGCCCGGGTCCTTCTGGTTCTGCAGGAAAACGGGAATTTCGGTGCCTGGGGTGAGGGGAATTCCCTGCCCAGGCAGCGCTGGGAGCTCACGGGATCCTGGAATGGTTGGGGATGGAAAATCCCTGAACAGCCACGATCAGTGACGTTCCCTCAATCCCTCAATCCGCTCCAGATCCCATCCCGGCACATCCCCAGGGCCGGGAGCCCCTGGATCATCTCATCCCATTGATCCCATCCATTCCATTGATCCCATTGATCCCATCCCATCCCATTGTTCCTATGCCATTGATCCCATCCCATTCCATTGACCCCATGGATCCCATTGATCCAATTCCCACCCCATCCATGGATTCCATTCATCCCACCCCATCCCCTTCATCCCACTGATCCCATCCCAATCCCATGGATCCTACTGATCTCATTCCAGTTCCATTGATCCCGTCCCAATACCATGGATCCTATTGATCCCATTCCAGTTCCATTGATCCTGTCCCAATCCCACTGATCCCATCCCAATCCCATGGATCCTACTGATCTCAGTCCAGTTCCATTGATCCCGTCCCAATACCATGGATCCCATTGATCCTATCCCCATTCCAATCCCATTGATCCCATCCCAATCCCATGGATGCCATCCCAATCCCACTGATCCCACCCCATCCCACTGATCCCGCCCCATCCCGTGGATCCCCAGGATCCCAGCCCACATTCCCGGACCTTGGTGAAGGCGGCCAGCTCGGTGTCCATGAAGGCGCGGAATTCCCGCTTGGAGAGGGTGACGGAGCTGCCCTCGCGGCCGGCGTAGCGCTGGAACACGGCCAGCAGCGACTCGATGCAGCGCTCCGTCTCCGTGGGCTGCGGGGCAAATCCCGGGATTCGGGGTGAGGGGGGGGGCAGGGACCCCTGTGCCCATTCCAGGTGTGCCAGGGCAATCCCGGGATTCGGGGATGAGGGGGGGGCGGGGACCCCTGTGCCCATTCCAGGAGTAATCCCGGTTTTTTTTGGGATGAGGGAAGGGCTGGAGGATCCTCCCTGCCCATTCCAGGTGTGCCAGGAGCAATCCCGGTTTTTTTGGGATGAGGGAAGGGCTGGAGGAGCCTCCTCTGCCCATTCCAGGAGCAATTCCAGGTTTTCTGGGAGCAGGGAAAGGCCACCTCTGCCCATTCCAGGAGTAATCCCGGTATTTTTTTTTTTGGATGGGGGAACGGCAAATGGATCCTCCCATGCCCATTCCAGGTGTGCCAAGGAGCAATCCCGAATTTTTGGGGAGCAGGGAAGCACCTCCTGCGCCCATCTCAGGTGTTCTAGGGAGAAATCCTGTTTTTTTTGGGAGCGGGGAAAGGCTCCCTCTGCCCTTCCAGGTGTCCCAGGAGCAATCCCGGTTTTTTGGAGATGAGGGAAGGGCTGGAGGAGTATCCCGTTTTTTTCGGGAAGTGGGAAGGGCTCAGCCGGACCCGTTCCGCCGCATTTTTCCCTGGATTTCGCTCCTTGGCACAGCGGGAAGCGGAGCGGGAGCGGCTCCTGGAAAATCCCCCGGGGAGGCGGCGGATCCGGCCGGGCCGGATCCGGCCTTCGGCTGAAGCGCGTTTTTGGGAGATAATCCCGTTCTTCCCCGTTTTCTCCCCATTCCTCCCCACCCCACCCCGGTTTTCCCCTGGTTTTCATCCATTTTCCCCGTTTTCTCTGTTTTTTCCCCGTTTTTTTCCTGGTTTTCTCTGCTTTTTCCTGTTTCTACCCGATTTCTGCCCCGGTTTTCCCCCCGTTCCCGCCCCCATTTTCCGCTCGTTTCCCCCCTGTTTTTTCACTGTTTTCCCCCTGTTTTTTCCATTTTTCCTTTTCTTCCCAGCCATATTTCCCCTTGGGACCACGCCCTAACCCCTCCCCACTCCAATTTTGGGACGTTTTGTGCGAAAATCTCCTTTCCCCTCCCCTTCCCCCTCTGGAATCACCTCTCCCACACCTGCCGGACCCTTTTCCTTGGAAATTCCATCCCTGGGGACCATCCCTGCCTTCATCCCGCTCGGATTTTGGGGCGTTTTGCGGGAAAACCTCCTTTTCCCTCTCTCCGGGTCCGTTTCCCCCCGCAAATTCCCGGGAATTCCTCACCATGGCTGGGACAGCGGCGGCTCCGCTCCGCTCTGGAGTTGTAGGATCGGGAAAAAGCTCGGGGAAAGTTCGGGAGCCCCGCCCGGGCTGAGTCAGCGCCGGCCGCGTTGAGCAATTCCCGTTTCCAGCGGCAACCGCGGCTCCTCCCGAGCCTCCGGAATGTGCCCGGCCCGGCTCCGGGGCTGCGCGGGCATTCCCAAATCCTGCTCCGTCCCGGAGCATGGGAGCGGGGGGAAAAAAATCCCAAAAGTCTTAACGGGGAGGTTGGGGAAAAAAGGAGGAAATTTCCTCAAAAATCTTCCTGGAGAGCCTGGAGCAGGAGAAGGGGAAATGCCAAAATATTCAGGAGGAGGCCGGAGAAGGAAAAAGGGAAAAAAATCCCTAAAATATTCACGGGGAGCCTGGAGCAGGAAAAAGGGGGAAATCCCAAAAATCTCTGGGGGTGTCTGGAGCAGAGAGGGGTTAAAAACCAGGGAGCAGGATGAGTTTTGGGATCCCTGGAATTTCTCCAGGACTGGCAGCTGTGGCACTGCCCCTGGCATTGTCACCGAGCCCTGCCAGTGTCACTGTTCCTGTCCCTGGCATTGTCACCGAGCTGTGCCAGTGTCGCTGTTGTGTCCCTGGCATTGTCACCGAGCTGTGCCACTGCCCCTGGCCCTGTCCTTGTCCCTGTTGCTGTCACCAAGTGCCAGCACTGTCCCAGTTCCTGTTCCTGGCCCCATGTCTGCCACTGTCACCGAGCCGTGTCTGTTCCTGTTCCTGTTCCTCTTTCTGTCCCATCCCTGTCCCTGTCCCTGTCCATGTCCCTCCTGTCCCTGTCCCCGTCAGGGACAAGGTGGGGACAGAGCCCTGGGAGAGCCCCTGGCTCTGGCCTGGAGTGGGATGTGGGATTGGGATTGGGGTTTGGGATTAAGAGGAGTTTGGGGGCTGAATTGGGAATGCCTGATCCGAACTGCGAATGCCTGATCCAAACTGGGAATGTCTGATCTGAACTGGGAATGCCTGATCCGAACTGGGAATGCCTGATCCGAACTGGGAATGCCTGATCCGAACTGGGAATGTCTGATCCGAACTGGGAATGCCTGATCCGAGCTGGGCCCCCCTCCCCAGCCCTCCCAGCCCTCCAGAAGGTGACGCTCAGAGCCGCTGCAGGAATCAGCCGTTTATTCCCATTTTCCATGCGACAAAAAGGAAGGAAAAGGAAAAGGAGAAGGAGAATCCCCCACCCACCACCAGCACCCTGTGAACTCCAAACCCCCAGGCCTGGAGCTGGAATTCTGCTGGAATCGAGGCTAAAAAAGGTGATTTCTTTTTTTTCCCATCCTCGAGGATTTCCAGGCCCCGAAATCAGGAATTTTTTTGAGTTTCACAGCAGAAGCCGAGAGCAGCCCCAGCCCTGGGGCCGGGGAGACCTGAAGTGACACCCCAGGGTGCAAAAGAGGACAGAGGCACCCAAGGACTCCAATCAGAGCAGGAAAAGTGATTAAATATCGACGGACACAGCCAGCACATCCCGAGCTGGCAATGGGGGGCAGAAGTGACCCTCAAAAGGACCTGGAGAGGCTCCAGGGAGAGGCAGATTCTCCTCAGGATGTCTTGGATTCATCCCTGGGGCGGCTCGGGGTCTCCTGCGGGGCCTCCTGGCCCTGCTTGGTGCCACCTTCCCGAGGAACCTGCGAACTGCTGGATTCCCGGGGGCTCCTCTTGCTGGGTTCCTCCTCGGGAGCCTCCTCACCCTCCTGGACTCCCTCTCTGCGCGTCTCTCCGGGGTCTCTCCGCTCCGGATCCCGACGTTCCGGGGGGATGCAGCTCTTGGCCTCGCCGTCCTGGCGCTCTCTCCGCTGGCAGCCGGCTCCGGGCTCCCGTGGGACCTTCTGGGGTCCCTCACCCTGGGGCTGGCCCTGATCCACCTCAGGGATCTCGGGGCGCCTCCGGGTCTCCTTGGATTTCACCCACTCACCTTTCCCAGCCTCCGGCTCAGCGGAATCCCGGAGGGCTCCGTCCTTCACCTCTTTCCCGGATTTTTCCCGGGGCTCACTGGGAGCCTCAGGGTTTTCCTGGCACTCGGGTGGCAGCGCCTCGGGGTGGCCCCTGCGGTCACTGGGTGGCCGCGGGGACACGCAGCAGGTCCGGACGCGCACGGGCCGGCCCCGCTGGCCGGGCTGGTGGCACACGATCTCGTAGGTGGCGGCCTTGGGGTCCTCCAGGCTCTGGACCACGTGCACCAAGTAGGCGACGGTCTGAGGGTCCACGGGCTCAGGGAGCAGCTGGACCTCGGGCCGGACATCGGGGTCAGCGGGGAGGTAGCGGACCCTGAGGTCACTGACGGGCACCTCCTGCCCCGGGGGGCACAGATCGCCGGTGTCCACGTCCAGGGTCTGGTACCGGCACCGGCCCTGCTCCAGCTCCTCCTCCTCTTCTTCCTCCAGCACCTCCAGCCGGACCTCCTCACGTGCCTCCCTCTGGTCAGTGACGGTCACTTCTGCCGCCCTGTCCCGTGTCCGGCGGCTGCGGCGCTCAGAGGCCTCCAGCTCCAGCTCCAGCTCCCGTTCACGGTCAATTCTCCTCTCCCTCACGGCCTCTTCCCTCTCTCTGACCCGGGAAATTCTCCTCTCTTCCTCCTCACCCTCACGGGGACGTTCTCTCCATCTCAGCTCCTCACCTCGTTCCCTGATCTCACGGCGCACTCTGACATCGGCTTCTGCTGCTGCCACTGAGATCTCTCTCTCCCTCTCGTACCTCACTGATTCTCTCTGTCGTCTTCCATCATCCAGGCCACGAATTTCTCGCTCTCGTCTCTCCCGTGTCTCTCTTTGGTTAATGGCGGCCACTTCTTCCTCCCTTTCCCGTGTCCGGCACTCAGACACCTCCAGCTCCCTTTCACGGTCGATTCTCCTCTCCATCAGGGGCTCTTCCCTGTCTCTTCTGGAGCAAATTCTCCTCTCTTCCTCCTCACGCTCACGGGGACGTTCTCTCCGTCTCAGCTCCTCACCTCGTTCCCGGATCTCACGGCGCACTCTGACATCGGCTTCTGCTGCTGCCACTGAGATCTCTCTTCTCCGGTCATACACTTCTTGTCCTCTCCTTGTAGCTACTTCAGCCTCACGAATTTCTCGCTCTCGTCTCTCCCGTGCCTCTCTCAGGTTTCTGGCGGCCACTTCTTCCTCCCTTTCCCGTGTCCAGCGCTCAGACACCTCCAGTTCCCGTTCACGGTCGATTCTCCTCTCCCTCAGGGGCTCTTCCCTCTCTCTGATCCGGGGAATTCTCCCTGGCTCTGCTTCCTCCTCACGCTCAGAGGGAAGTTCTCTTCTTCTCAGCTCTTCTCGTGGTTCTCGCTCCCGGATCTCACAGCGCACTCTGACGTCGGCTTCTGCTGCTGCCACTGAGATCTCTCTTCTCCGGTCATACACTTCTTGTCCTCTCCTTGTATCTACTTCAGCCTCACGAATGTCTCGCTCTCGTCTCTCCCGTGTCTCTCTTTGGTTAATGGCCGCAAATTCTTCCTCCCTTTCCCGTGTCCGGCGCTCAGACACCTCCAGCTCCTGTTCACGGTCGATTCTCCTCTCCCTCAGGGGCTCTTCCCTCTCTCTTCTTGTGCAAATTCTTCTGTCTTCTTCACACTCACGGGGACGTTCTCTCCGTCTCAGCTCCTCGCCTCGTTCCTGGATCTCACGGCGCACTCTGACATCGGCTTCTGCTGCTGCCACTGAGATCTCTCTCTCCCTCTCATACCTCACTGATTCTCTCTGTCTCCTTCCATCTTCAAGGTCACGAATTTCTCGCTCTCGTCTCTCCCGTGTCTCTCTCAGGTTTCTGGCAGCCACTTCTTCCTCCCTTTCCCGTGTTCGCTGTTCAGACACCTCCAGATCCCGTTCACGGTCGATTCTCCTCTCCCTCAGGGGCTCTTCCCTCTCTCTGACCCGGCGAATTCTCCCTGGCTCTGCTTCTTCCTCACGGTCAGAGGGACGTTCTCTCCGTCTCAGCTCCTCACCTCGCTCCCGGATCTCGCGGCGCACTCTGACATCGGCTTCTGCTGCTGCCACTGAGATCTCTCTCTCCCTCTCGTACCTCACTGATTCTCTCTGTTGTCTTCCATCATCCAGGCCACGTATTTCTCGCTCTCGTCTCTCCCGTGTCTCTCTTTGGTTAATGGCAGCAAATTCTTCCTCCCTTTCTCGTGTCCGGTGCTCAGACACCTCCAGCTCCCGTTCATGGTTTAGTCTCCTCTCCCTCAGGGGCTCTTCCCTGTCTCTTCTGGAGCAAATTCTCCTCTCTTCCTCCTCACGCTCACGGGGACGTTCTCTCCGTCTCAGCTCCTCACCTCGTTCCTGGATCTCACGGCGCACTCTGACGTCGGCTTCTGCTGCTGCCACTGAGATCTCTCTTCTCCTGTCATACACTTCTTGTTCTCTCCTTCCATCAGCTTCAAGGTCACGAATTTCTCGCTCTCGTCTCTCCTGTGTCTCTCTCTGGCGCACTGTTGCCACTTCTTCCTCCCTTGCACGTGTCCGGCGCTCAGACACCTCCAGCTCCCGTTCACGGTCGATTCTCCTCTCCCTCAGGGGCTCTTCCCTGTCTCTGACCCGGGAAATTCTCCTCTCTTCCTCCTCACCCTCACAGGGACGTTCTCTCCGTCTCAGCTCCTCACCTCGTTCCCGGATCTCACGGCGCACTCTGACATCGGCTTCTGCTGCTGCCACTGAGATCTCTCTCTCCCTCTCGTACCTCACTGATTCTCTCTGTCGTCTTCCATCACCAAGGTCACGAATTTCTCGCTCTCGTCTCTCCCGTGTCTCTCTTTGGTTAATGGCAGCAAATTCTTCCTCCCTTTCCCGTGTCCGGCGCTCAGACACCTCCAGATCCCGTTCACGGTCGACTCTCCTCTCCCTCAGGGGCTCTTCCCTGTCTCTGATCCGGGGAATTCTCCCTGGCTCTGCTTCTTCCTCACGCTCATGGGGACGTTCTCTCCGTCTCAGCTCCTCACCTCGTTCCCGGATCTCACGGCGCACTCTGACATCGGCTTCTGCTGCTGCCACTGAGATCTCTCTTCTCCGGTCATACACTTCTTGTTCTCTCCTTCCATCAACTTCAGCCTCATGAATTTCTCGCTCTCGTCTCTCCCGTGTCTCTCTCAGGTTTCTGGTGGCCACTTCTTCCTCTCTTTCCTGTGTCCAGTGCTCAGACACCTCTACTTCCAGCTCATGTTCCCGATCCACCCTCCTCTCTCTCAGTCTCTCTTTTCTTCTGGGATCATCTCTTTCTTCCCTCTCCTGTTCCTCCCGGATCTCCCTTACCCTTCCTGCAGATTCCCGTTCCCGCCTTGTTCTCCGCCTGTGGCCGCGTTCCTCTGGCTCTGCTCTCCCACATTCCCCGAGGTCGATCTCTAACGGTTCCTCCAGGTACGACTGATGTGGCCGCCCGGACTCCGGACATTCCAGCTCAGCCGCCCGGCAGCTTCTCCCTTCCAGCTCTCTTTGTTCCAGCTCACGCCGGCGGTGGCGGCTCCTCTCTTCCCGGAGCAATTCGGGTTCCCGTGGCCGATTGTCACCTTCCCCATCTGCTCCTCGTGGCCGCTGGGTTCTTTCATCACGCCCCGGCTCCTGGCAGCTCCGCCGGTCCGGCCGTGGTTGGGGTTCTCGGCGTTGCCTGCCTGTCCTCACGTCTGCCGGTTCTTCCTCCTGGAGCCCCTCCCGGTCTCTCCTCTCTCCCTCTCGTCTGTCGGGCTCCGGGGGCTGCCGCCTTCTCCGGCTCTCCTGCTGCTCACACGGCTCCTGGCTCCGTTCCCGGAATTCCCGTGGGATCAGCTCCCCGCGTGGTTCCGCGTCCCTCCCGCTCCGCCTGCGACGTTCCTGCTGATCCCTCCTCGTTTCCTCCGAGATTTCCACCTCCCCGACCCTGAGGTCTCCTTGCAGCTCAACTTCACGATTCCTCTCCCAGGTTTGTCGTTCCTCCTCCTCCTCCTCCTCCTCCTGGAGCTGCCGGCGGCTCCCTCTGCTCCTGAATTCCGGCTCCTGGAAGGATTTTCCACTGGTCGGGATCTTTGTCCTCTGCACCAGGAACGGGGCCCTTGGCTGGAACCAGAAGCAGCACTTGGCCACCCGGAACACCAGGAGGAGGAACTCGTTAAAATCGATGTTCCCGTCCCCATCCCACTCCAGGAACTGCAGGATCTTCTCGATGGTCTGAGGGTCGTGTGGCTTCTGCAGGGAAAACACACAAGGGGAGGAAAAAGGGGAGTTTTGTCTTCCTCTTCCTTGAGGGAGAAATGCAAAAACGGGAAGAATCGCAGGAATTATCCTTCCATCTCTGATAATTTCATTTTAGGGCTGAGCATCAACTGTGGGAATTCATTCCCTGAAATTCCCCCTGGATCCCCCTTTTCTCCAGGCTGAGTCCCCCCCGCTCCCTCAGGGTTCTCCATCCCCTTCCCTGGCGCAAAGGAACCCAAACTTTGGTGGAACCCTCCCCGTTCCCTTTCCAGCGAGGGTTTTGCCGTTCCCACATCCCAGCCCTTCCCCGCCGCGCTCACCACCAGGGAATCTGCGAATTCCCTCTGGATGAGCTCCCTCATCCTCCTGCGGCTGAGCCCGGAGCCGTCCCCATCGCCCCGGGCGTGCTGCTGGAAGACGCCGACGATGGTGGCGATGCTGTCCAAGAACGGGGACATCCTGCAGATCCGAGCGAGACTGCAAGGGACAGGAGCAGACCGAGGGCTGGGGGATCCCCTTGGGAAGAGGGAGGAGAATTCCCGGCTCCGCGTTCCCCGCTGGGAACACGTTCTGGGGTTTTAGTGGGATGGGGAGTGGCCTCTGGCTTCGCCACTGACGCGTTTGGGTGACGTTGGAGCAGGAATGGTGACGGGGATGCGGTGGCAGGGAGGGACCTGGTGGTGCTGACTCAAGAGGTGCCCCCAGATCCTGCCCCGTGGAGCAATCCCATGGAATATTTCCTTGGAATGGACCCTAAAGATCACCCAGTCCAGCCCCTCTGCTGTCCAGGGAGGTCTTTAAGGTCTCCACGGAGCATCTCCGCTCCAGGTGAACCCCTCCAGCTCTCCCAACCTCCCCCCAGCCCTTGGAACATCTCCATGGCCTCATTCCAGGACCTCCTGGTGTTTCCAGGATCTATCCCCATGATCCCGGTGAGAGGAGCTTTAACCCAACCCAAGACAAGATCTGGGGCAGAGACCTCAGAAGCTGCGTCTGGAAACCTCCAAAACCTCCTCCTTCCCTCCTTCCTCCCTTGTGGGATCCCCAAGCCTCCCGTCGGGAACCTCCGTGCCCGATCTGATCCCGGGGAGCCGCGCCGTGCCCATTCCCGCCTCTGGAACGTGCCCGGGCACACGAGCACTCCTTGCCCCATGGAAACGCCGGAATTTCCATGGGGAAGGGGCCACTTCTCCAAAGGGCTCCAGATCCAGCTGGGAGCTGACCCCACCCCCAAGGAAGACCCCGAACTTCTCCCATGTTCCCTTCCCTCAAGGACAACCCAACCCAACAACTCCAACAGGGAGAAACCCCTCGATACACCCAAAAAACGCCGGGAACATCTCTCCCGTCCACCACGAATCCCGGAGAAACACCAAAATTCCCAGCAGAGTGAATATTCCCAGCAAAGGGAGAATTCCCGAGGGAGCCACTCACCCAAGTCACCGGTGGGATGGAGTGGGATTCCTGGGAAGCCGTGCGGAGCGAGGGGAGGACGCGGCTGCTTTTATAGGGTCCGCGTTGGGGTTGGAGAGGAGCCACCCTTCGTGGACGTTGTCCTGATTCATCCTGGGCCAAGCCCAGTCCCAAACGGGTTATTTGGCTTTATCAACCCTTCCCTATCATTTTCACCCCGAAATAGCAGCGGCTCTTCAGGCCGGTTCCGCCTAATCCTGGAAAATCCTGGCTGTAAAATCCTTTTATGGTCGCGTTTCGGATTTTTTTGGGAAATCTGGAAGGGCTCCAGAGCGTAAATGGAGGAGGGTGGATTTTAATGTAAATATTTGTGTTATGGGTGGGAGTTTATGTATTTAACACCTGCAAAACCACATGAAAATTGGAATTAATATTTAAATTAAATTAATTAAAATAATTAAATTAATTTAAAAGAACATTTAAGTGTTGATGGCAACAGAGCTCGGGATGAGCAGATCAGGGACAATCAACATCTTTATGACCCACACAATTGGTCCCACAATTCCAGAGGGGATTTTTGTCTCTTTTTTGTGCATTTCCTTTGGAATTTCAAGCCTGAAGTAATTGAGGTTTGGATCAGGAAAAGGGAAGAAGATTTCAGCCCTAAAATCTGGGTGAGAGTCCCAAATCCTCCTGATTTTGACTTGTGGGACACCCTTGTAGCATTTTATTCTTATTTTTATTTCTCATTAATGAGTATTTGGCCGTATTATCCAACATAAAAAATAAACCAACCACAACCATTTTAAAATGATTAAATGAATTTTTAATTGGGTTTTTGAACAAGGAAATTGTAATCAACTGATGACTTCTCATTGAGAAAAATCACAATAAAACTTCTAATATTAATTGGAGGATTTTAATTTCATCTTGACTCAATTTTAATTAAAAATAAAAGCAGAACCTCTGCTGAGAGGTCGGTTAATGCTGAATTTCCTCCGGCTGCCCTCGGGCTGTAATTACCTCACAATCTCCTTATTTTTTAATTTAATCTTCGAATGGCAAATTAATTAACTCTTCCTTTATTCCCCAGGAACTCTCCCAGCACTTGGAGGAAATCTGGAAAATTCCAGAGCCTGGATTTGGGGTTTGGAGTGGGACGAGGTGACGGGGACATCACGGGGGCCACCTTGGAGCAGGAACTCGTCCCACAGCCTCGCCCGTGGCTCACCCTGGGTGTAGGAGCCCAATTAATTAATGCTGGTTAATTAATAACCTCAGGGACACTCAGCCCAGGGATTTGTCCCCAACGTTCATTTTTGGGCTTTTTTTTTTCCTGGATTAAATTACCCCGGTGCAAATTAGGCCCCGCCTTGGTGATAATGACACCCTTGGGACGCTGTAATTTTGGGGTGGATTTTGGGGTGATTATGCAAATGAGGAAGGATTTGGTGGCCTGTAACTGTCTGGAATCCCCACCCCAGGGGCTGGGGCTGTGCGGGAGCCTCGGGAATCCGCCTTGGAAAAGGTCCCTGGCCTCGGGAGCGCTTTCCTGGGATTTGGCGATTTCTGGGATGAGGCAACGAGGCTCCAGGCACGTCCTGGTGGTGCTGAACCCCTGTTCCTGCTGGGTTTTCCCCAAAAACGCTTTTCCGGACCCACCATGAGCAGAATCCACCCCATCCCTTGGGCTGGATCTGAAGGAATTTGGGCAGGGGGATGAGGAAGGGGCTTCTCCCTCTCTGCTCGTCTCTGGTGGGATCCCACCGGGAATTCCGTGCTGGGTTCTGGTGTCCCCAAGGCATGAAGTTGCTCCCTGATGGATCCAGGCTGGGAATGTTGGGAATATTGGGAATGTTGGGCCTGTGGAGACCCCAGAGCTCCTCCAGGATCTGCAGGTGCTCCAGGGAAGTTGGAGAGGGACTTTCCCTCAGGAACTTCAGGGACAGGGCACAGGGAATGGGGTCAGGGGGACAGAGGGGGAATTTGGGTGGGATTTTGGGGAGGAATTGTTCCCTGTGAGGGTCCCAGGTTATCCCATGGATTTCCCATCCCTGAGAGTGCCCAAGGCCAGGCTGGAACCACCTGGGATAGGGGAAGGTCCCTGCCCATGGAACTGGGGTGGGATTTTTTGGGATTTAAGGCTCCTTTCCATCCCAAACCATTCCAGAATTCCGTGGGCTGCTTTAGATGGGATTTTAGGGATCAATCCTTCCCTGGCCCAGGTGCTTCCATGGATTCCCCATCCAGGGCCAGGCTGGATCCACCTGGGACGGTGGAAGTTGTCCCGCCTGGGTTCAGGGTGTCCTGGGACACTTTTCCAGCCGGGATGTGGCTGAGCGGTGGGATGAGGTCAGCGGGGTCATTCCGGCCTGGGGCACCAGGACTCCTCATCCTGTTTGTCCCCGGCCCCAATCAGCCCCATCGAGGTCCCCACGCCTCGTCTGAGGTCGGTGACACGCAGGACACGGAGCCCTCGGTGCCACCTCCGACGTCACCTCCGAGGCGGCCCCGAACCCCACGGCGGCCTCAGCTCTGAATCAGAAATCCCAAACCAGAAACCGCCCCCGCCCCACCTGGATTTGGGGTTCCGCGCACGCCGCTGTCAGAATTCCCCGGATCCGGCCCAACGGGGATCACCCCTGGAATTTTGGGGTGAGTTCTGGGGGATCTCAGCTGGGGACGCGCCAGGGGAGGGTTGGGAATTCCGGATATCCCATCCAAACCACACAGGGAGTCCTTCTCTTATAGGATCGGGATTCCAGCCTGGGAATTCCAGGGGAGACACCCCTGAAACGCCCCTCACCAAATCCTCCATCTTTCTTTGCTTTTTTCTCATTAATGAGGATTTTCTCTAGAATTAATTCCCGGTCCTTTGCAGCTAGCCCCTCCCACGGACACCTTGGGCAGGAATTGGGCAGGAATTGGGCAGGAATTGGGCGGGAAAGGTTATTTTGGTTAATTTGCTGATTTTGGTTATTTTTACCCCGCCGGGGTTGGGGTTCAGGCGGCGCCGGAGCCACGCCCGGGGCTCAGAACGGGTTTGGTGAGAGGGGTGGGGAGGGAGGGGAAACAAAGGCAGAGGAATGAGGATGTTGGGATGGGAAGTGGGGCTGGTCCGGGGGGCTGGAGCGGGGCCAGGGCTGGAAAAGGGAACGGAGAGTCCCGAGGGAGCTGGGGGTGATCCTGGAGAAAAGGGGGATCCAGGGGGGATTTGGGATCTGCCAGGGGGATTTGGGATCTGCCAGGGGGGGATTTGGGATCTGATCCCAGGGAATGGGACAGGACAAGAGGGAACGGCCTCGAGCTGCGCCAGGGTGGGAAATTTGGGAAAATCCCTCCTGGAAAAGGCTCAGGGAGGGTTGGAGTGGCCACCCCTGGAGGAATTCCTGGAGATCCCTCGGGATGACCAAGGGGGGACCGGCCACAGCTCGGAGTCGGTGATCCCGGAGCTCTTTCCCTGGATGATCCTGGAATTCTCCTGGATCCGAAGCGAGCATGGAAATCTTCTCCCACAGTGCCACCAAGTGGCTCCGGGAGCGGGACTGGGATCCCCTGGAATGTCCCGCGCGTGGATCTGGGACGGGGACACGCGGGGAAACTGAGGCACGCGGAGGGAAAAAGGGCTGGAATTCCTCGCGCTGCCCCCAGTGCCGGGCTGGGAGAACTGGGAGATCTGGGAGTCCCCTAAAATGGCTCAGGAAGGTCGATTTTATATAATTTTATATTTTATATATGTTTTATTTTATATTTTAATTTCATTTATTATTGCATCTTATATCCATGTTTTTGAAGGTTTCACGCATATGATTACTGGTTTTATCCGTGTTTTCCCGGCTTTTCACCACATTATCCCCTTCCCAACATTCCTTAGCCATTTCTTCCCATTTCCTTCCCTCTTCCCCTGCTGAGAGCTGCGGGAATTCACCCCAAATTCCAGCCTTTTCTCCCTCTTTTTGCCTCGTCCCGAAGCAGATTCCTGGACCTTCCCATTCCGCAGGGATTTCCATCCCCACATCTCTGTGATTGAATAATTGGAATTAAATCCTTCCTTTTCCCGAGCTCTTCCCGCTGTCCCTAATCCCCAATGATGTTAAGAAGTATCAGAAATTCCTCTAATCCCGCTCTTTTTTCCATGTTAATGAGGATATTTCGATTGTTCCTGCCGGGATAATTGGATTCCAGGGCTCCCCTCGAATTCTCCGGATTTGAATAATCCCACAATTCAAATCAGGGATTCACATCCCAGATCCTTCTCTTGCTTTGAGACACTTTTAACAAAGCCAATGATAATTAAGGAGCAATTAATTAAACCCTTTCCGTGCCTTCTGAGACCCCAAACTCAAGAATATTTTGGATTTTCCTGTTCTCTTTCCCGATCCTCCTGGAGAGGGTGAGATTTTTTTCTGTGCTCCCTTTTGCTCATTTTCCCATTCCTTGGGATGTTTTAATCCCATTTTTTTTTTGGGGGGATGTTTTCACCCAGTTCCTTGGGATGTTTTAATCCAATTCCTTGGGATGTTTTAATCCAATTCCTCAGGATATTTAAATCCCAATCTTTGGGACATTTTAATCCCATTTTTTTGGGATGTTTTCACCCAATTCCTCAGGATGTTTTATTCTCATCTTTCAGGATATTCTCATCCCATTCCTTGGGATGTTTAAATCCATTTTCCAAGATGTTTTCACCCAATTAATCAGGATGTTTTCACGCAATTCCCCAGCAGGAATTCTTCCATCTTTAGCACGGATTTCCCAAAAACTGAGGACTCCACGCTCTTGCTTTTAAATCCTGATGATTATTTTTTAATTTGGAAGCAGAAGTATCAGAGCGGTTCGGAAAAAAGCTGGAATGTCTCCTAATTCCATGGAAACCGGGATGGCCCTGGATGAAGCTGCTGGGCAGGGAGGAGGGAGCGGCTCTCCCCTGCTGGACACCGGGGCCGCTGGAATCCGGGCCCGACCAGTTCTCCCAGTGGCCTGCCCGAGTTTCCAGTGCCACTTCTGGCTGGTGACAGCGGGACGGGAGCTGGGACAGGCTCTGGCACTTCCCAAACATTCCCAGGAGTTTCTTCTCCATTCGTTCTGGATTTTGGAGCTCCCAAACGAAGCCTCCAGAGGAAATCCCCCTCCCCTGGGGGCTCTGAGGGGTTCTGAGCCTTTGGCAAACTGGGAGCTGCTGGTTTAACTGGAATTCTCTGTGCCTGGAAGAGCCTCTGGGGTGGGGACTCATCCCAGGAAAACGTGGATTCCAGGCTGGATTCCGGCTCCCCAAAAAAATTCGGGAGCAGCCCCAGCCCTGGGGTGCTGCTGGTGATCCCCAAACTCAGATCCAGCCCAGAATTCCCCCTAAAAATGTTTTTCTCATCTCTGGGGAAGGAGCTCCCTGAGTTTTATTTCTGAGGAAAATTTGTTTCCCTTAATATTCCCACAATTTTAATGAGGGAAACCATTAAGAAAGAAGATTAAAAATGCAAAGGCAAAACCATAAATGAATTAAGGCAGACTCCGAACCTCCTCATATGTCTGTGGGAAGTGAAAAGGTGGCGGGTGACGAAACAGGACCCCGGCTGCAATTCCCACTTGGATCATTTTCCCATTATTTATTGCGCTTTTCGTTGGGCAATCAAACTGAGACAGCAATTAAGTGATGATTGAAAAGCAGCTTTTTTTTTTTTTTTTTTTTTTTTTTTTTTTTTTAATCTCACATGAAGCAATTTCCTTTCTTTTTGTAACTCCTGGGAAGCTCAGACTCACCGAGCTGGGCAGGGACCCCCTTCCTTCATCCCACTGATCCCAATCCTATTTCTTGCCCCGGAACCAGCTCTGGCAGCGGGAAAGGCAGCGCTCCACGATGCTGGAAGTGCAGGAGTTGAGGCAGAACGGGCTCCGTGGGGATGTTTGGGATTTGGTGTCCTTGGCATCTCCGGCGTCCTCAAGTCCCTGGGATTGCGACGCGCAGGGATCCGCGGAAATCCCGCTTTGGGATGCGCAAGAATCCATGGAAATCCCGCTTTGGGACACACAGGGACCCGTGGAAATCCCACTTTGGGACACGCAGGGATCCCCCGGGATCACACCCTGGTCCTGGCAAGGCTCATCTGCGCCCAACTCCACCACCTCGAGGGTGCAGGGTTCGGCGGCCGGGAGCTCCTGGCTGAGCTTTTCCAGGTTGTCCAGGCAGGTCCCGGCGGTTTTGGTGTCTCCGAGCTCCTCCTGGGGCAGCGGGAAGGTCCCGGCGGCGTCAGGGGGACACAGCTCCACGGTCAGGATGGATTTCTGCAGCGGGAACCTCATCACGCACATCCCGGGGGTCTCAAAGGTGAAGGGCTCCTCTGCCGAGCTCTGGATTTTCACGGGATCCGCGCAGGGCCCCGAGTCCGTGGGGAGGGATGGGGAGGTGACCCTGAGGGGGACCTGGGGGGGGTCACAGGGACAGGAGGGACAAACGTCCTGGCACGGGCAGGGATCCGCCTGGGAATTCTGCTCCGGGGCCACCACGGCACAGGGATGGCTCTGGGCAGCCTCTTCCAGGCAGGAACAGGGCGGGCACTGGGAATTCATCTCCCTGCGATGGAGAGCTGCAAGAGAAAGGAACAATTTCACGCCCAATCCCACAAAAAATCAGGGGAAAATTCCTCATTTTTTCACTTTTCCCTTCAAACTCCCAAAATCAGATTTTCTCATTAAAATCTGCTCTCAGCCAAACAATTCCAACAATTTGCCAACTTTTTTTTTGGGGGTAATAATGGATTTGATTCACGTTTTCAGGTTTATGGATTTCAAGTGGCTCCCTTCCCCAGCTGTTTTTCCCTTCTCCAGTTGTTTGGAATGGATCCTGGATCTCCTGGCAGGATGGGGTTTAATCCCACTAAACCCAGTGCTGGAACAAGAGGAATTTTCCAGAACATCCCTGGGAATTCCAGAATTACAGCCAAGCCAGCGTGAGGGAAGGATTTTGCGCTCTGTAACCTTTATCCCCAAGGAAATCGAGTGCCATAAATCCCCCTTTCTCAGCTTTCCAGGGAATCTATTCTGGAAAACGACCACTGGGATCTGCAGGATCCCAAGGAGACTCACCTGGGTCGGGATCGGCAGGGCGGACGCGGCCGCGTTATCCCGGGATGTTCCTGGTGTGTTCCCGGGCCTCCGGAGCCGCGCGGCCCCAGGCACCTGGAGCTGCTGACGGCCTCGCTCCGCCCCAGCCCCGCCAGGGATGATTTGCCTAATTATTTTTAATGGAAAACGCCTATTTCCGTGGCTGGAGCCAGACCTGGAGCTCGGGAATTCACGTGGCCCCGCAGACGCCAGGGAGGAATTTGGGAAATGAGTGGATTCCCGGCCAGCTCTCCAATAATCACCCGGTGACCGGGCAGGTTTTTGGGATGCTCCAGCATCCTCCAGCCCAACACCTCGTGAGGTCCATTAGGGACAGGATGGGATGTGGGATTTGGGGGATTCTTTTATTTTTAGACACGTCTGACCTTTTTCTGTCCTGTTTTTCCACGGAGCTGCTGGAAACTCTTTGCTCACCGCTCATCTCGTGATGTTTTCCATCCGCTCCCGAAGTTCTGACTCAAATCCCGTCTCTGTTGTCGTGACGGTGGCGGTGTCCTCGTGTGGGACGAGCGGGCAGGTGACTGGAGGAGTGACCACCACCCTTTTCCCTTTGTTTTATCCCAAACCCACTGAATTCCACCCAGCTGGAAAGCCATAAAACCAAAAACGTGAATAAAATCTGTTCCCTTCCCCCTCCCAAAAAAACCATTGGGAAATCATTGGAAATGTTCAGCTGAGGACAGATTTGAGCAAGAAAAGCTCCTTTTGGGGGGTTTGAACAGAAAAGCAAAAAAAGGAGGAAATTTCTCCTGCAGTCAGCAGCAAATTCCCAACCCAAGGGGTCACGAATCCCAGATGTATTTATTTTCAGGAAATAACCAAAACCAACCACACTGGACACCCAAATTTGGAGGGAGAAGAAGCAAAACCCCTCTGGTGTCCTGGTGGAAAACGGCCTCGCCTCTGGTGCGAGTCACTCCTGTCCCTGGCTGTGTCACCGGGTGACTTCGGGAGCAATTCCAGAGCCTTTGATGTCTCGGGGGAACTGGTTGGGTCTCTCTTCCTTCTTTTCCAGGCAGGGACGACTTTTCCGCGGGGAGAAAGCGGCAGCTCCGAGTGATGGCCTCGTGAAGTTTGTCACCTTCTCGGGCTGGGTGTGACCTCCTGGCACCCAAAACGGGCACAAAAATCGGCCCAAAGGCCACTGAGATCAGAGAGTTCATCCCTCATCGCCCTGGGTGTCGCCTGGTGGAGCTGGGACACGTGGGAGAGGTCCTGGAAGATCCTGGAGATCCTCGAAATGTGAAGATTTCCCTGGAGGCCAACAGCCAAAATCCCAACAAATCAAACTAATCAAATTTGTCTTAAAAACACAATCAAAGAATTGTGGCAGAAATGACCAGCAGGACCGGGGCAGGGATTGTCCCCGGGCTGGGCACTGGGGAGGGGAATGTCCAGTGCCGTGTCCAGTTCTGGACAGTCATGGAAAGAGGGATGGGGAGGGGCTGGAGTGGGGCCAGAGGTGGGACCAGAGCTGGGGAAGGGTCTGGAAAATTCTGAGGGAGATGGGGGGGCTCAGCCTGGAGAAAAGGGGGATACAGGGGGGATTTGGGATCTGCCAGGGGGAATTTGGGATCTGATCCCAGAGAATGGGACAGGACAAGAGGAAACGGCCTCGAGCTGTGCCAGGGGCGGCTCAGGGTGGGAAATTTGGGAAAATCCCTCCTGGAAAGGGCCTTGGAAGAGGCTCAGGGAGGTTTGGAGTGGCCACCCCTGGAGGTGTCCAGGGAATTCCTGGACCACATCTGGAGCTGCGGCTGATTTGGGTCCCACAGCTCAAGACCAGCCAAAGCCACCCAGATGTTCCAGGGACCTTGAGGAAAAAGAGGACTGGGAGATGCTGAAGGATCTGTCCACCCTGGAAGGGACTTGGGGATGATCCTGGGGCCTCTTTGAGCCATCCAAAATATTCATGGAGAGGCTCTTCCAACTGAGGTATTGAGGAAAAACTGGACAGATAATCAGGAATACTGTGAGAGAGCCAAGACCCTTCCAGAGTCCCACCCCACCTCCATTCCCCAAATGCACCAAAACAACTTTTTTTTTCCAGAGTTTAATCCCGAGGGGGATTGTTTCCAGGCTGTCTCATCCGCATTTCCCAGTCCATAGGAAATACGTGGATGGGGAATTCCTTGCAGTCATAAAGAGTCTCATGTCCCACCTCGGCGACATTAAAAATTATAACGTCGAGCGAAGTAATTGAAGGATTGGAGCGGAGCAGGTCTGGATTATTAAATATTTGATTTCCATACCCCTGAGGTGTCTCACTTCCGGAGCCACGGACACCAAAATCCTATAAAAGGATTCCTATTGTCCTGCTCCTCAAGCCATTTTTGGTTTCATTTGGTGCTCGCTGGTGGAGAATTGGGTAAGTCCAGCTCGGTTTCCTGGGAAGTCACCTCGTGGTTGTTTTTTTGTTTTGTTTTTTTTTTTTTTTTAATTTTGGAGCCGTGCAGAAGCAAATTAAAAGACTTAAAAGTGTTTCTGCTTGGGGATATTGGGGTTGGGATTCCCCCAGATTTTAATTTTGTCTTCTCCGGGGTTTATTTGCTGTGGGTTTTGCTCTTTCTCCATCGAGGAGGACCAGATTCTCTCTCTGTCCTTGGCTTTGCTGCTGGTTTCACCCAGGGAATTGTTGGCGTTGGGAGAGATCAAAAGGCCAGGCTGGGACTTCAAAGGGGAGAATGGGAGGGGTGATAAGGAGCGGAGACTCTCAGGCTGCCAGGGAAGGCCGTGCCTGGGAGGAAAAGTCCCGGTGGGAAGAGCCAGGCAGATTTTGTGGGAAAAGCAGCCGCGGCAGAGCCTTTCCTTGGAGAGGTTTTCCAGCACAGAGCCTCCACTGGTGTCCTCTGGATGAGGGCAGCATCCCTTTTTGGGTGGAATTAGGGAAGGAATGGGAAAGATTCATCCCGAACCACAGGGAGGTGTGGGCAGGTGGAGGCTTCCGACCTTCTAGAAAGCCTAAAAGAGCCCAAATAATTTTTGCTTCCTCTTTTGAGAGGAAGTTGCTTGAAAATAGCTACAAATTTGTCTAAAACGCTTTCATGTGGAGTCAACGCTGTTTTCCCTCTCCCCTCCTCCTGCCGTGCTCCGTGGGCGCCCGCCCGGAGCCGGGACTCCGTGGAAAAAGGAGGATTTAATTCCGTGTATAGAACAGCCTGGAATGTTTCCACACCTTTTAACCCTTATCCCTTTCCTGCTTCCAGCCTCCCCCCTTCCCCCCAAAAATGCGTCGCGCGACCGGCTGCCCGCTGAGCCAGATCTGCATCCCCCCTCCCGCTGTCCTGGTCAGGAGCTTCCCGGTGAGGTCCAGCCCGGACCCCTGCGGCACCTCCAGCAGCTTCCAGTGCCTCCCTTCCCGCGGGAGCGGCTGCTGCTACCCCGGCACCACCACCTACGTCAGCCTGGGGGGCCTGGCCGCGGCACAGGCCGCCGGCTGCGCCAACTGCGGCCTCGCGGCCACCATGCGCGGCCCCCTGTGCTACCAGGGCCTGGCCGGGTGCAGCACGACGTGCCGGAACCCCTGCTGCTGCTGCCGGGTGACCGAGAGCAGCGCCAGGAGCCAGGACTGCTGCCAGGAGGTCACCAAATGTGTCACAACGTGTCAGGATCCGTGCTGCCAGGAGGTCACCAAGTGTGCCACCACGTGCCAGGATCCGTGTTGTCAGGAGGTCACCAAGTGTGTCACCACGTGCCAAGATCCCTGCTGCAAGGAGGTGACCACATGCACCACCACGTGTGTGGATCCATGTCGTAAGGAGGTCACCAAGTGTGTCACAACATGTCAGGACCCGTGCTGCCAGGAGGTCACCACATGCATCACCACGTGCCAAGACCCCTGCTGCAAGGAGGTGACCACATGCACCACCACGAGTGTGGATCCATGTTGTAAAGAGGTCACCAAGTGTGTCACCACGTGTCAGGACCCCTGCTGCAAGGAGGTGACCACATGCACCACCACGTGCGTGGATCCGTGTTGTAAGGAGGTCACCAAGTGTGTCACCACGTGTCAGGACCCCTGCTGCAAGGAGGTGACCACATGCACCACCACATGTGTGGATCCATGTTGTAAGGAGGTCACCAAGTGTGTCACCACGTGTGTGGATCCGTGTTGCCAGGAAGTGTCCAAGTGCACCACAACATGCCAAGATCCCTGTTGCAAAGAAGTGGCCAAGTGCACCACCACGTGTGTGGCCCCCTGCTGCCGGGAGGTCACCAAGTGTGTCACCACGTGCCAGGATCCCTGCTGCAAGGAGGTCACCACCACATGCACCACAACGTGTCAGGATCCCTGTTGTAAGGAGGTCACCAAGTGTGTCACAACGTGTCAGGATCCGTGTTGTCAGGAGGTCACAAAGTGTGTCACAACGTGTCAGGATCCCTGCTGCAAGGAGGTGACCACATGCACCACCACGTGTGTGGATCCATGTTGTAAGGAGGTCACCAAGTGTGTCACCACGTGTGTGGACCCCTGCTGCCAGGAGGTCACCAAGTGTGTCACCACATGCCAAGATCCCTGCTGCAAGGAGGTGACCACATGCACCACCACATGCACCAGCACATGCCAAGATCCGTGTTGCAAGGAAGTGACCACGTGTGTGGACCCGTGTTGTCAGGAGGTCTCCAAGCGTGTCACCACGTGTCAGGACCCATGTTGTCAGGATGTCACCAGGTGTGTCACCAGGTGTGTGGACCCATGTTGTCAGGAGGTCACCAGGTGTGTCACCACGTGTGTGGACCCGTGTGGCAAGAAAGCCCCCAGGGGCCTCACGCCGTGTTACGAACCCTGCTGCAAGAAGGTGAGCAAGTGGAGCAGCCCGTGGGTGATTCCATGGTGCAGGAAAGGCTCCAAGTCCAGCACCAGATGTGGAGATCCCTGTTCCAAGAAGGGGACCAAGAGCAGCTCCAGATGTGTGGATCCGTGCTACAAGAAGGTGCCCAAGTGGTCCACCCCGTGCCAAGATCCGTGCTGTGTGACCAGGTGTGACCCCAGATGTGTGGATCCCTGCTGCCAGGAGGTCACCAAGTGCAGAACCAGATGTGTAGATCCTTGTTGTCAGGACGTCACCAAGTGTGTCACCACGTGTGTGGATCCGTGTTGTAAGGAGGTCACCAAGTGCATCACCAGATGTGTGGATCCCTGCTGCCAGGAGGTCACCAAGCGTGTCACCACGTGTGTGGATCCGTGTTGTAAGGAGGTCACCAAGTGCACCACCAGATGCGTTGACCCGTGCTGCCAGGATGTCACCAAGTGTGTCACCACGTGTGTGGATCCCTGCTGCCAGGAGGTCACCAAATGTGTTACCACATGCCAAGATCCCTGCTGTGTCACCAGATGTGCCACCAGGTCTGTGGATCCCTGCTGTGTGACCAGGTGTGCCACCACCAGGTGTCAGGATCCATGTTGTCAGGAGGTCACCAAATGTGTCACCACGTGCCAAGATCCCTGCTGCCAGGAGGTGACAAAGTGCACCACCAGGTGTGTGGATCCCTGCTGCCAGGAGGTCACCAAACGTGTCACCACGTGTGTGGATCCTTGTTGTAAGGAGGTCACCAAGTGCACCACCAGGTGCGTTGATCCGTGCTGCCAGGAGGTCACCAAGTGCGTCACCACGTGCCAAGATCCCTGCTGCGTCACCAGATGTGCCACCAGGCGTGTGGATCCCTGCTGCCAGGAGGTCACCAAGTGCACCACCAGATGTGTGGATCCCTGCTGCCAGGGAGTGGCCACGTGTGCCACCAGGTGTGCGGATCCATGTTGCCAGGGGGTGGCCAGGTGCGTCACCACCTGCCAAGACCCCTGTTGTGTCACCAGATGTGCCACCAGGTGTGTGGACCCCTGCTGCCAAGGAGTGACCACCTGCACCACCACGTGCCAAAACCCCTGCTGCCAAGGAATGACCACATGCCAAAACTCCTGCTGCCAGGGAGTGACCACCTGCACTTCCACCTGCCAAGACCCCTGCTGCCAAGGAGTGACCACCTGCCAAGACCCCTGCTGCCAGGGAGTGACCACCTGCCAAGACCCCTGCTGCCAAGGAGTGACCACCTGCACCACCACGTGCCAAGACCCCTGCTGCCAAGGAATGACCACCTGCACCACCACGTGCCAAAATCCCTGCTCCCAAGGAGTGACCACCTGCACCACCACGTGCCAAGACCCTTGCTGCCAGGGAGTGACCACCTGCCAAGACCCTTGCTGCCAGGGAGTGACCACCTGCCAAGACCCCTGCTGCCAAGGAGTGACCACATGCACTTCCACATGCCAAGACCCCTGCTGCCAGGGAGTGACCACCTGCCCCACCACACGCCCAGCCCCGTGCTGTGTCCCCAGCTGTCGCCCCCCGTGTGCAGACCCCTGCTGTGCCACCTCGCAGTGCCGTGGGGGTGTCCAGGTCGCCACCAGGTGCGCGGACTCCTGTCCCACCACCTGCGTCACCCAGACCTGCCCGGTGTGCGGCCAGCGCTGCTCCGTCTCCTGCTGCCCCAAATTCCGGGCTCGCTGAGGGGCTCCGGGCTGGGATCCAAAGGAGACCCCGCTCCCCGTGGGGGTTTCCCCGTGGAATCTCCAAAGGAAGAGTAAATCCTCATTTTCCTCGCGTTCCGCCCCGTTCCTGCTGTTTTTCACCTCAAGAAAGCGCCATTCCTCACGGGATGTCACCGAGCGATTTTGTGCCCCCGGGATTGTTCCCCGGGAGAAAGAATCCACAGTTCCCCCTCGCACTGGGAGTGCCATGGAGGAATTCCCGTCCATTCTTCCTCCTGATATTTTTCCTTTCCGTGTTCTGAAGCAATAAAAGAAACGATCCTGGCATTGGCCTCGCGCGTTTCCTTCACTTCCCACCCTTTATCCTTTTAATTCCTTTCCTAAAATCCTGATGTTTGTAATAAAAAATGCTTGGGAAGGTCTCACTGGGATTGTGGAATGCCCTGAGATGGAAGGAACACACAGGGATCACCAAATCCGACTTCTGGCCCTGCCCAGGACATCCCAAAACCCCTCCGTGTGCCCGGGAGCGCTGTCCTGGAGCTCTGGTGGGTTTGGGGTGGTGACCATTCCTTGGGGAGCCTGGTCAGGGCTTCCACACTCTGGTGGGAAGAACCTTTTCCCGAAATCCACCCCAATTCCCACCCCCGGCACATCTCCAGCCCTTCTGTCAGTCCTGACATCCCTGAAATCCAAAATCAATGTCTGAAATACCAAATCAATGTCTGAAACCCCAGATCAATGTCTGAAATCCCAGATCAAAGTGTGAAATCCCAGATCAATGTCTGAAACCCCAGATCAATGTCTGAAACCCTAGATCAATGTCTGAAATCCCAGATCAGTGTGTGAAATCCCAGATCAATGTCTGACATCCCAGATCAGTGTCTGAAATCCCAGATCAGTGTGTGAAATCTCAAATCTACGTCTGATATCCCAGTTCAGGTGGGATTTCCAGGCTGGAGAAACACCTGGAAACCCCAAAAAGGGAGGAATTTTCCCCGCGCTCCTGCATCACTCCCATCGCTCCATCCCAAAGCCCCAAACGGGGGTCGGGGCCGTCCCGGGAGGCTCCCGAGGTGGAGCTGGGCTGGGAGCTGGCGCGGGGAGGGTTTGGCGGAGCAAATCCCGCCGGGAATGCGGGCGGGAGGAGCGGGGGCGGCGGCAGACGGGGTGGGACCGTCTGGGAGCCGCCACCGGCTCCTCTGGAGATGCCCCAAGGCCCGGGGTTGGTGACAACCTGCGACTCCTCTGATCCCAGCGGGCTGGGGCACTAAAACTCCCGTGGGGTTTCATTGGACCCCAAAACGCCTCGAAAATTCATTAAAATCCAGTGCAAGCAACAATGTCCTTCGCTCCTGCTCCCAAATCCCTCAGGAAATAAAGTGTGGGTGGGGAAAAAATGGCTTTTGGATTAATTTTTCCCTTCTGGCATGGTGCTGGCAGGTATTTAATCCTTCACACATCCGAAAAATTCAGCTGTAAATCATCTCGGAGCAGCAGAGAGCAGAAACACCATTTCCAGAAAAAAATGCAAACAGGAATTCTTCCTGCGTGACCACCCGGATGTTTATTCCACACCTGTGACATTAAAACAGGCAGAAAACTGCTGCTCACTACAATAAAATGTTGTAGAATCCCCTGGTTTCTCCGTCAGGTGAGCTGTAAAATTTCCATGGAGAGCAAAGCAATTTTATCCACTAAAGTAAAAAAAAATTCTGGAGGAAATCCAGAGATTTTCATGAAAAAATTGAGAAAATCAAAGCAAAGAAGGCAAAGAGATAAAAAAGTTGAGGATTTTTTTTTTCCTGCAACCACAGCCAGTTCCTCCTTCCCAGATTTAATTACTCAGGTACTAATTGTCATTCTTTCCTGAGTGCTCACCTTCCGGAGTAAACAGGAAAAGAGGCTGGAATGGTGGGATTTGGGTTCCTCTCGTGGCTGGATCCAAATTGTCCCTCGGGCATGGACTGAAGGAGCCACTCACCTCCATGTGAGGCTTCATGTCCTCTGCTCTCATCCTCCTGGCATCCCAAAAATTCCAGGGCTCCCGGAGCCACCGGGTCAGTGCTGGAGAGCTGGGTCAGACCCTCCCACCTTCCCCAGGTCCTTGTGGGAATGAGGAGAGGGGAAAGTTGGGTCTGATGAAGGCCCAGGACGTTTAATTGCGAAATGTGTGGAGGGTTTTGGCAGGAAAATGGGGAGAATCCCTGATTTCCGTGAGAATCGATCGAAACACACAGGAAAAATTCCTTGCTTGGGAAAAGGGGAATCCTGAGCGGGGATGGAGGGGTTGGACCTCGACCCCGTGTCCAGTTCTGGACAATCATGGAAAGAGGGACGTGGAGGGGCTGGAGCCTGTCCAGGGGTGGGAACAGAACTGGGGAAGGGTCTGGAAAATTCTGAGGGAGCTGGGGAAGGCTCAGCCTGGAGAAAAGGGGGATCCAAGGGGATTTGGGATCTGATTCCAGGGAACAGGGCCAGGACAAGAGGAAACGGCCTCGAGCTGTGCCAGGGGAGGCTCAGGGTGGGAAATTTGGGAAAATCCCTCCTGGAAAGGGCAGCCAGGCCTTGGAAGGGGCTCAGGGAGGGTTGGAGTGGCCACCCATGGAGGTGCCCAGGGAATTCCTGGAGATTCCTCAGGATGACCAGGGTGGGATTGGACACAGCTTGGACTTGATGTTCTGGGAGACCTTGCCCAATCTCTGGAATTTTGGGATCCTGGGAAATCTTTGGCCCTTCAGCAGCAGATGGGCCTGGACCCTTGTAGCTGGGGGTGCTGCCCTTGAGGAATTCCCTCATGGAATTCCCTCCGGAACGCCCAGCCCGCTGCGGGAGGAGTCACCAGAGCCACCAAAGGACGTCTCTGTGGGGTCCTGACTCACCAACACCAATGTGACAACTCCAATGGCTCCAATTGCCCATAAACGTAATGGAGATTCCCAAATAAGTGCCAATTAGGGATAACGACCCAACCCCGTGATGTTCTTATGTGTCGGAGTGCGGATCCTTTTACGTCTCCCGAAATAATCCACTTTTGGAAGGCCTCAATTTCTTACTAATCAAAGTTAACAACGGGGTGTAACACAACTCGGGGTAGAAAGGGAGGTGCAGGAGCAGTGCTCAGAGATGGTTTTGAGGTGAGCCTGGTGCCTGAGGAGATAATGAGGAGCTGTTCCAACCAGAATATGGGATATTCCTTGGGAAGATAAGAGTTGGAAGCTGCTCTGGGGGAAAATTTTCACACCCAGCAGCTCGAGGAGGAGAAAATGAAGAGGGATTCATCTGCCTAAAAAATTCAGCTGCCAAATCTGAGCTCTGCTGGGTTCAGGTTCTCCTCCCGTGGCAAAGGAGGTGTTTAAGACAAGCAAACCACTCTGCCAGTCCCAGTTTATCCCCGGAAAAGCCTCTGGGGCAGCGGCGCCTCCGGGGAAGAAGTGTGGGGAGCTGAGTCTGTGGAAAAGCTGAGCCACCCGTGAGGTGGCAAAAGCCGTGGAGATCAGGTGGAATTCCAGTATAAGCAGTGGGAAGGAACTGGTGTTGATGCCTGGAATTCTCTGGGAGACTCCAGGCTTGGGGCGTAAACAGGACGTGCTGCTCATGCTGGGTTGGGTTTTTTTGGGGTGTTTTTTTTCCCCTATTTAGCATTCTTTGTGATGGTCACGTTCCCATCTCCATGGTTGGAATATCTGTGAGAAATGTGGATTTTCCATAATCAGCAAAACTTTAATAAAAATTGTATCCTGGGTCTAAATCCCACTTAAACTGAAGCCTTTTGTACTTTTCTGTGAGGGAAAAACATCTTTAAAATGAGGATTATTCTGCCTTGAATGGCTTGAAGTGTTCCTCAAAAAAACTGCAGTTATGTCCCCACTGGAATTTGCAAGCATGGATGGTCTTAATCCATGGAGAGGATTTGGGTTGGATGAATGAAATTATTTAATTTATCAGGAAAACAAGGACGTCAAGGTTTTGTGGGAATGCTGGAGGATTGGTTGTGCCTTTCCATGAGAATTAGGACAGGGTATTTCTCATAGTAAATCCAATTAATTATCCATCTTCCCTAATAACAGCCATCCCAGGCTGGAAAAACTCCAGCTATCAAAACCCAACATTTATGGAAATAAGGCCACGGAAACGTCCCAGCACATTAAAACCCTTTCTGAAAACCAATTAATTCAGCACCCGCTGGTTTTTTTTTAATGACTCCTCCATTCCCGTTGGGAACCGCATGACCGGGATGGGAGCGCGGCTGGCTCAGCATCACCTGCTTTCCTGGAAGAGGGCTTCCACCAAAAATTAGGGTGCAAACAAACATGCAAAGCATGTGGAGGTGGAGCCTGCCGGGGCAGTTTGTGGTCAGCTGTCTATCCCCCGGGCTCCCGCGTTTCCGGAGCTGACGCCACTCCGGCCGTATAAAAGGTTTGGATTCGAAGGCTCCCACCAGTTCCTTTGGCTACTCCGTCGCTCGCCAGGACCGGTGACCCGGTAAGTCCTCCTTGGCTTTATCAGGGAATTTTTATCAGGATATCTCGTGGAAAAACGAGTTCACTCCGCGTCCCAGGAGAGCTTCGCTCCTGTGCTTCCCTTCCAGGATTTGTTCTGGAATTGGGGATTTTATTTGGGGTTTGCTCTGCCTGGAGGAGCTTGGAGAAGTCACCTCCTCCAGAACTATGGTGGCTTCTCCTCCTCTCTCCTGTTCCATCCTGGTTAATTTGTTCCTGCCTCGTTAAGGCTGGGAATTAAATAAATTAATGGATGCTGTGGAGCAGCTCCTGGGACTTCAAACAGGATGGGTGGGAAGAGGCTCTATCCGGAGGGAGGGAGCTGCAGGATTCCTGCGGGCAAAGCCGAGGGAGACCTCTGGGAGAAGCCAAGAGGAGGAAACGAGCTGGAAATGGGAGCTGCAGCCCTCCCAGAAGGATGAGCCCCATTAATCCCCCAAAAAATTCCAGTGACATCCCAGGATCTGCAGGAGTATCAGGATGGGAGAGCTGGGAATGGTCAGCCTGTGGAGAGCTCGGAGCCTTTTCCAGGATCTGCAGGGGCTCTAGGGAAGCTGGAGAGGGACTTTTCCTCAGGAACTGCAGGGACAGGGCACGGGGAATGGGTTTGCACTAAAATATGGGAAATTTAGGCTGGATATTGGGAAAAAACCATGACGGTGGTGAGGCCCTGGCCCAGGTTATTCCATGGATTCCCCATCCCTGGAAGTGTCCAAGGTCAGGTTGGACAGGTCTTGCAGCAGTTTGGTCTGGGTTGGAACGAGATGATCTTTGAGATCCCTCCCAGCCCAAACCATCCCATGATTCCATGGGATAATGGCGGGATTTGTGGCCTCTGGGCTTTGTGGTTGGGAATTCCCATTGCGGAGGACGTGCCCAGGTGGGCGTGAGGATCTGGTAAGAAAGAGACGAGCCCTGGAACATCTGCTGATGGAACTGAGAATAAGAGGAACTGGACTATTTTTGTGTGCATGGCTTCCACAAAATTGACAATCCCATAAAATTCAGGATTTGTGGCTTGAGGCTTCCTAATAGGTTCCCGATGAAGGAAGGGATTCTCTGGCAGCGTTAATTCCATAAAAACCCTGGGATTGGCCCGGACCATGGCGCTCACAATGCCAAGCTCATACATTTGATCCCTGCAGGGGCCATTCCCTGAAGAGTTGGACTTGATGAGATCCTTGTGGGTCCCTTCCAGCTCCAGAACCCAGGAACCCTGAACACAGGCGGCTTTTCCTACCATTCCTTTCCTCAGCCGAACACGAAACCACCGAGACCTCACGCCGCGAATTGCACCTCGATAAGCACGCACTGATACCCTGATCATTTATTTTTTGTCTCTTTCCCAGCTTTTTCCCAGCTCCTTCCCGCTGCCCCGGCACCTCCCCAGGATGTCCTACTACTACGAGCAGTGCAAGCAGCCCTGCCTGCCCCCTCCCATCTGCCTGCAGAAGTGCGCCAAGTGCCCGGAGCCCTGCGCCACGCAGTGCGTCGAGGTCTGCCAGGCCCCTTGTGCCACCCAGTGCGCCACCAGCTGCGTCACCCAGTGCACGGAGCCCTGCGCCACCCAGTGCGCCACCAGCTGCGCCCCGCAGTGCGTGGACGTCTGCGCCAAGCCCTGCTCCAGCCAGTGCGTGGAGGTCTGTGCCCCACAGTGCGTGGATGTCTGTGCCACCCAGTGCTCCACCAGCTGTGCCCCGCAGTGCGTGGATGTTTGTGCCACCCAGTGCTCCACCAGCTGTGCCCCACAGTGCGTGGATGTTTGTGCCACCCAGTGCTCCACCAGCTGCGCCCCACAGTGCGTGGACGTCTGCCCCACCCAGTGTCCCGAGCCCTGCGCCACCAAGTGCGTGGAGAAGTGCCAGGCCGAGGTTTGCAGCACCAAGTGCGTGGAGTCGTGCGAGACCGTGTGCCTGGAGCCCTGCTCCCGCCCCTGCTGATCCCCACACTGGGCGGCTCTGGTGACCGGTGAGGAGCCAAAGCCGCGGTTCCAGATGGAAAACACGGCGCAGACCCACCGGCGACACGAGGCCTCTCCTGCTCTGATCCTCCCACGTTGTCTTCGTCTTGGAAAACGTTTCCTCTCTGAGTGTTCCCTGTGTTTTCTCTTCTGCTCCTGACAGCGTTTTTCCTTGGGTATTCCCGATACTTTAGCGTTGGGAATCCCAGGAAGCGCTGTCAGCAGCTGGTGGAGGAAGATGTCGATGCTTTTCCCATCCCCTTCTCCTCTTGTCTCTTCTCAGTCTTGTAAATTCCCTGTGCAGCAATAAAAAAATGACCATTGATGGCACCAGCTTTCTTTTGTCTTTTTTCTCCCCATTTCCATGATTTCAGACCCCAAAATATCTTCCTTGATTTCTGTTTTCAAAAACGGTTGGGGAGGGTTTTATGCCTGAAGTAAAAAAAGGTTTAAGGAAATAATTGTCTGGTCAATTCTTTTCTGAGGGATGCTTGAAATTATTGATAGAAATTTGATTTTCAGACAGAATTTTGGTCTCCACAGCTTGGGATTTTGGAATTAAATCCTAGAAACCGCTAAAGGGTGAATTTAAGTGGAAGAAAGCTTTAAATTAATAAAGGAATTGAACATCCGGAAGGCACAATTTAAAATAAATATCTTTAAATAAATATCTTTATTCTGGCTAAGTTTGAGGCTTAAGGTGACCCCATGATCTGGAGGGAGTTAAACCCATAAAAAACCCCAAATTTTGGGGATAAAGCTCTCACTGTGTCCCAGATTGTGCCTGTGGCTTTCTTCACCTCAGGCTCCGTGCTGGCCACGCCATTTCCATGTCTGGGAATGCTGAAATCGCTCCCCACCTACCCCCTCATTACGGGAAGGGTGGGGAACATCTAATCTGAAGAAGAAAAGAGAGATATTTATATTCGGGGGTGTGCCGACACTGTTTCCAAATCGCCTTTTTAATGTGCAGGTGGGGAGGCGAGGAGCAGGTTCCTCTTTGTGTCCCTCGCTGTCGACACCGGGAGGTGACACCAGAGGGTGACACCAGGAGGTGACACCCTCAGGCGGGGATCATGGGAGCCAAAAAAAACACAGCTGGGGAAGGCAAACACCTGGGCACACCTGAGAGGCAAAGCAGGGGCAGAGATTCCCAAAAAATGGATGGGGAAGTGAGGAATCAGCACCTGGAATTCCTCCGTGGAATTCGCGGCTCTGCCTCAGGGGCGACTCGGAGGTGCCACTTTTGGGGCATCTTGGGGGCATGGAAAAGGTTTTAGGAATCAGAGCAAACAGCCCCACACTTGGGGCAGAAATTCCCAGGAAAATGGGTGGGGAAATGAGGAATCTGCACCTCAGATTCCTCCTGAGGAACCCAGATCTTTGAGGATCCCAGCTCTGCCCTGGAGGTGCCATTTGGGTGACATCTTGGGGGCATGGAAAAGGTTTTAGTCAGGAATTATGGAAAAAAAACAACCCCTACGCCTGACCACATCTGGACTGGATATTCCCAGGAAAACGGATGGGGAAATGAGGAATTTGCACCCCAAATTTTTGGGGATCCAAGCTCTGGGGTGCCACTTTTGTGTCCTCTTGGAGGCCTGGAAAAGGTTTAAACTACGAATCATGGAAAAGGTTTAAATCAGGAATCACGTGGAGCTTCTCTCCTCCGTGAGTCACCTGATTCTGGAGCATCTTCATCCCGATCCATCACCGGTGCAACAGGGATCACGGGAGCACCTGGAAAATCCTGGAGGGACCTGCTGTCCTCCCGACATTTCCTGTGGCCAAGTCCTGATGCACCAGCTGTGGTCAGCGCCGGGAATTGCTGGAATTCCCGGGATAATTGCAATAAATTAGGGATATTTCATCAGCCTGGAGGCGGAGGAGCCTGGAAAATCTTCCTAATTTCTTGGGGGATGAAAAAAATTCATTCCTGATTTTGGGATGGGAATTAGGGAAGGGAAACAGCAAAATCCAGAACCACAGCGTTCCAAACTGGGACCTGGTGCTTTGCCCAGGAGACGGGACAGATTCCCAACCCCGCTCCGATTTCTCCAGGAGTTCCCCAGCCAAAATTATCCCTAAAACTCATTCCTGAATAGATGTGAGTTTCCCCAGATTTGTGGGATCTCTGCCCGGGATGGGGATGGGGTGAATCATTGAGAAATTATTAATGAATTATTAACAAATCACCCCGCGATGAGCAGCCCTGGGTGTGCCCTGCGTGAAAAACACCCAGTCCCCCGCAGCCGGGAGAGGAGGGAATCTCTCCCAGACTTTGACTGAGGTCCAGGAGGTGGGAGCGGAGCCGGTTCCGGTTGTGAAAGATTCTGGTCACCGAGTTTAATCCGGAGGCATCGGCCCTTCTGCAGGGTTATAAAAGCTGCTCCTCCGGGAACCTCCACACCCGCAGCGGCTCCTCCTGAGCTCCCTCCTCCAGCAGGACGCGCCAGGTGAGTCCTTCCCTGCCCCTCTCGCTGCCCAGTGAGGGGGTTGGTGCCCCGGGGTGGGAAAAATGGGATTTTTCGCCGTTTTCTTCCCCGGCCTGGCGTTGTCTCCCCAAAAAACTCCACCTGCAATGGATGGAAAACCATTTTATGGAGTTTTGGGAGTGTTGAGGCTCCATCTGGAGGTTTGGGACTCTTCGGGTCAGAACTCCGTGATAATTTTCCCAGGATTGATAAGAATCCCGTGGATAACCAAAGGCTGGCATCCATGGGCAGATGGTGGAACAGCTTCCCGGATTTCCAGGGATGCCGGTTCCGTTTCCTTGGATAAAATCCTCAATCCACCTGAATTTCATGGCCTTGGGTGTGGCTCCTGCTCTGGGCGTCTCGAGCTGGGGCAGAGGCATGGTGGTTCCAAAAATTGGTATCAAATATTAGGATTGGTATCAAATACTGGAAATATTATGAAATGCTGGGAATATTATCAAATATTGGGATTGGTATCCAATACTGGGATTGTTATCAAAGGATTTTTCCCTGACAAAACTCCCAGTCCTGAGATTTTTTCCCAGTTTTCCACTCCTCTTTGGCTGCTTTTCTTGGAGCTTCTCCTTGAGTTCAGCTTTCCCCCAAATCCACATTTTATCCCGAGCTTTTTAAAGTTGAGATCCCCAGGAAAAAATTAGCAGCAGGAAGGAAGGAAACCCCTGGTGCCGTTTGTCTTCTCTCCAGCTCTGCAGCCTTGCCCTGGCTTTGTTAGGCGGGGTTTTGCCTCTGATCCTCATTTTAGGCACAGCTATTCCCTGACCCCTCAGCGGGGCGACCGATCCTGCAGGGAATGGGATGGGATCCAAAAAAACCCAAAAAGGGGCAGGAAACAACTCCCCAAAATTCGGGCTGAGCTGCAGCACCGTCAGGGATTTAATCCCAGCCTGGTTTGGGATGAAGTTTAAACCTGCGGGGTCGATCTCGAAGCTGAGGCAGCGCCTGGAACCTGAACACCCCAAAAAGGCGAATTTGAGCCTAAAATTAATTTCTCTCTGTGATTTTGAATCGCAGGCTCAGCCAGGATGTCCCAGCAGCAGAAGCAGCCGCAGCAGATCCCGGCCCAGTGCCAGCAGAAGTGCGGGGCCCTGCCCAAGGGGGTCCAGCAAAGCCCGGCCTCCAAAGGCCAGGCCAAGGCGGCCGTGAAGAGCCTCCCCCCGCAGCAGCAGCAGCAGCAGCAGCAGCAGGAGTGCTCCAAGCAGAAGTAGGAGCCATCCCAAATCCCAAATCCCGCTTTTCCCACCTCGTCCTGGCTCCCGGGAACGTCTCCAGACCTGCTTCGCTTGCCAGAAATTACCTCATAACGAAATGCGCTTAATTAGCTTTTAAAAAAAGAAATGATAAATGAATGGCGGGGTTGGTTTTAATTCTGAATTTAATTTGGGATGTGGTGCAATAAAATGATGGAATGACCTCGTGGTTGATCCCTGGTGTTTTTGTTGGTGCTTTTCCTCCTGTTTCACTTCTCTTTCTCTTTTGTTTTCCCCTAAAATATCAACATTAAGCACACACAAACACCAGCTTCTCCAAGCTGAGCTTCCACTCCATCTTTTTCAGGAGAAGCCATTGAAAATCCCCAAAACTTGATTAAAAAATCCCCAAAACTTGGTAAAAAACCCCCAAAATTTGCTACAAAAAACCCCACAACCTGGTATAAAACCCCCCACGACCAGGAACAAAAAAATTCCCAAAACTCAGCACTCAAAGTCGCTTTTATTGTGGAATTTTCACAGTGAAATAAATCCTGGATCCAACAGCAGCCGAAAACATTCACGAGACAAAGTCCCAAACACCGATGGGTGGCGAAACATTCCCGGCTGGAATTCCTCCTTTATCGCCACGCCCGGGGTTGATCCCTTCCCAAACATGTCTGGAGTGGAGTTAATTATCCATAAATTTGGGTAATTATGGAATATTCACGGCCTGAGCTGCTCTTTGACACCTCCGAGGAAATTGAAGGGGAGAGTGAGCTCGGATTGATCCTAAAATTCTTCCTTTTCCCTCCCTCAGTCCCAAAGGATTATTTTTTAATTCCACCAAATATTCGGGACTAATTCCCGATTTGGGAATTTCTGAGCGTTTTGGCGGCAGATTCCACACAAATCTGATTATTTATAGGGAAAAGCTTCCTGAATTCCAGGTGGGAGGTGGAATCCAGGGGGAAAAGGGAATTGGGGCTTTTTTCTTTACCTTCACGAACCCCGCCTAGCTCCATGATTTTTTGGGGCTTTCTGGGCATTCCAAAGCCGCGGGACTGGGGAAAAGGGCAGGAATTTGGGAAGGTGGAGAGCTACAACCCTGCTGGAAAGCATTCCCGACGGGAATTCCCTGCTGTTAGTAACGGACAAGGCGTTAGCGGGAGGGGCGGCTGGAAGGAATTCCCGACAAAAGCTCGGCAGGGGTTAAAAAAAAGAAAAAAATAAAAAAGGCTTGGAAAAACCTCTGGATTCGGGGAGAAAATCTCCGGGCTCGGGATTTTCCCTCTACTTCTGCCACGGGCCGGGCTGCTGCACCTGCTGCTGCAGGGGAGGGAATTTCTCGGGAAGGGAGCGCTGCTCCGGGGTGGGCACCGGCATCTCCTGGAATTCCTGCTTTTCCTGGGAGCACGGGGTGGGGTCTGGGACCGGGATGGGGACAGGGGTGTCCTTGCACTCCTGTTTTTCTGGGATGGACACCGGGGTTTCCTTGCATTCCTGTTTTTCCGGGATGGACACTGGGGTTTCCTTGCATTCCTGTTTTTCCGGGATGGACACAGGGGTTTCCTTGCATTCCTGCTTTTCCTGGGAGCATGGAATGGGCTCAGGGCATGAAACTGGGATGGGGACAGGGGTTTCCTTGCATTCCTGCTTTTCCTGGGCAGGATCAGGGATGGAAACTGGGATTTCCTGGCACTGCTGCTTCTCCTGGGCACACGGGACAGGGTCAGGGTGTGGATCAGGGATGGACACCGGGATTTCCTTGCACTCCTGTTTTTCCGGGATGGACACCGGGGTTTCCTTGCACTCCTGTTTTTCCGGGATGGACACCGGGGTTTCCTTGCATTCCTGTTTTTCCGGGATGGACACCGGGATGTCCTGGCACTGCTGCTTCTCCTGGGCGCAGGCTGCGGGCTCGGAGCTGGGAACGGGAACGGGAACCGGGATCTCCTTGGGCTCCTGCTTCTCCAGCGCCGGCTCCGGGCAGGATTTCTCTTCCAGGCGCGGAGCGGGCTCGGGGGTCGGGAATACCGGAGGGAATTGGGTTTGCTGCTCCTGGGGCCCGGCAGCTTCCCCTTTTCCCGGTTCTGGGATCGCCTTTTCCGGGAGCGGCTCTGGGCAGGGGGCGGGCACCGGGATTTGGGGGTGCTCCGGGCTCTGTTTTGGGGTGGTTTTACCCAGGCCGGGGGGGAGCTGCAGCTCCTGCTTGATTTGCATCTGGTTCAGAGACATCTCTGCGAGAAAACGGGATCACCTGGAAAAAAAAAAAGTGGGAATTTCTTGTGTTACCGGGACGAGAGGGTGACACAGTTCTGAAAAACGTGCTAAAAATTAAAAAAAAAAAAAAAAAAGAAAAAAAAAAGAAAAAAAAAGCGCCCAATTTTCCTCCTCTGCCCTTGGCTTCCGAGGCTAAACCCAAACATTTCAGGACGTTTGTCGTACCAGAAAAAAAGAAGAATATAAATGTGGGGCCAAGGGGGTGCTTGGGACTGGTAAACCCGAAATCATTCCTGCCTTTTGCCCCTCGATTTTCAGCTTTTCCTTGGAATTCGGAACAGCAGGGGAGGTTTCTCGAGGCTCCGGCGAGCTGAGGGTTAAATGCCCAGGAGACAGCTCCTCCTCTCGCTCCGGTGACGGTGCCGAGGGTTTGGCTCGGTCCTTGGAAGGGAATTCTCTGGGATAAAGCGTCCCCGAGGTCCGGGATTGCCACTGCTGTCCCCTCCTGAGTCAGAGCGGGCAGCGCGGATTTCTCCTCCCCGACAATTTGGGAACAATTTGGGGACAATTTTGTGGCCGCTGAAGGCTCGCCCGGACCTCGGGAATTCCTGCGCTGGATTTTTTACATCCAAGGGCAGGAGAGAAAGGTGAGAATTCCAAAAGCCAGGCTGGAAGGGATTTGAACTTCCCAAGGCAGAGAGAGGGGAAATTCCTCCTCCCTTCCCCGGGGGGGTCCCAGCTCCTCTCAAGCCAATTCTCTCCTCTCTTCCCTTTTTTTTTTTTTTTTTTTTTTTTTTCCCACATCTGATAAGACATTAATTAATTAAATAATTAATTAAGATCTTGCTCCTGACACGGGTGAGGCGGCACACCGGGAATATTTTCACTCCTTGTCTCCCTGCAGCACCCTCGCGCTCCCAAATTTGCCTCTTTCCAAGGAATTCCTGGCTGAAATGGAAGCTTAAAATATATTTTAAAATATAAAATCAAAGGAAAATCAATTTGGATTTTGATTTTGGAGAGGGTTTGCTGTCCTTCCCGGGAAGGAGGAGATTCGTCCTTAAACCAACGGAACTCCATCTGATCCGTGCCTCAGGAAGGGTCTAATTTAGGATTTAATTACCCTCAGATTTAGGCTCGGTCTTTATTTGCCTTCCAGTGCCATTTCCAGGCCAACCCAACGCCCACAAATTCCCTCCTTTCCAGGAACCCTCCACATACCCCAAGGCACCAAACCCAATGTTTCCTGAAAGGCAGAACCCCAGATATCCCCCCCCAAAAATCAGGATTCTCAGTCCCAAACATCCCCCCAAAATCTCAGGATTCTCAGTCCCAAACATCCCCCAAAAATATTTGGATTCTCAATCCCAAACTTGCCCCAAAAATTTTGGGATTCTCAGTCCCAAATATCCCCCCAAAATATTGGGATTCTCAGTCCCAAATACCCCTTCCAAAACTGCAGAATTCAGAATCCAAACCTCCCCAAAAATCCCAGGATTCTCAGTCCCAAATTTCCCCCCAAAATCTCGATATTCTCAATCCCAAACCTCCCCAAAAATCTCAGGATGTTCAATCCCAAAGCTCCCTGAGGAATCTCTGGATTCTCAATTCCAAACCTCCCCAGAAATCTCAGAGCTCTGAAGCCCAAAGCTCCCAGAGGAACCTCGGGGTTCCCAATCCCGAAGCTCCCCGAGGAACCTCGGGGTTCTGGGACTCACCCAGCCGATGCCGAGGGAGCAGCGGGAGCGGAGTGGATGCCGGAGTGGGGAGATTTGGGATCTTTTATAGGGTTTGGAAGCCCTGCCTTCTGGGAATGAGTCCTCCTGGCTGATGAGCTCATTCTTTCACAAGAACCTTGCCCGGTCGGGTTTTACACGTAGGCACTTTCCAGAGAGGATTCCGAGTTCGTTCCCCTGACTAATCCTGGTGAACCGTAGAATTTCTCCCTGGATAAAGGTCAGAGCCTCAGGATCATGGAGTTATTGGAGACCCCGTTGAGGTTTGGGGGCTTGGTGGGGCTTGGTGCCACCTCAACCCATCCAGGTGTCATTCCACAGCTAAAACCCACTCTGATGTCTGAAATTCCTGGGATCTATTGGGAATTCCCACCTCAACCCATCCAGGGCTCATTCCACAGGTAAACCTCTCCTGGGTTTTCCTGGGAAGAACTTAATGGATTTCCCTCAACTTTCATTTCAGTTTGGAATCACCAGGAGGGGTTTCCTGGACATTCCAGGAATTTCCTCCTGGAAAAGGCAGTCAGGGGCTGCCCAGTGAGGTTTTGTGTTGCCACCCCTGGAGGTATCCAAGGAATTCCTTGGACAACCCTCAGGGCTCTGGAAAGGGGTTGATCCACCAAAAGATGGACTCGATGATCTTGGAGGGCTTTTCCAACCTCAATAATCCTGGAATTCTCTGGATAAATCTCGTTTTCCATGGAGATGAAGCTCTCACCCATCCAAACGTGACGGAGCAGGGAGCTGAGTTTCTTTCCAGGGATTTTTGACAATATCTGAGATTTTTCCCACCCAAATGGAATTTGGGGAACCGGCCCCATGGAATTCCAGAAGGGAATTTAAAAAGGTGTTTCAGCCTCAATGTGAAATAAAGGGAACTCTGTGTGTGCAGCGCATTCCCTGAGGATTAGTCCAGGTGGAAAAAAACCCAAACATTATTGGAGTGGGAAAACCCTCCGAAATCCAATCCCAATCCCCCAAATCTCTGGGATCCATAGAGACACAGCCCCTGGAGACACCATGTCCCACCCAGACAGGAATTTCATCACCTTTGGTCATCCTGGGCCTCTCCCGGGTTCATCTCCGTGGCTTTTCCAGAGCTTTTATCGGATCAAGATCCCGACGCGATCACTTCCAACAGGCTGAGCTGGTCCCACGTCACCTCCCGGAATTCCTGGGCAGCGCCTGGAAGCGGCTGGTCCCGGCATGGAGCAACTTCCTCTCTCAACAACCCTTTGGCAGCACAAAGCCAGAATATTCCAGAATTTTCTCCCGTCCGTGCAATTCCCGTTTTCCCTGGGTCCTGCCTTGCTGTTCCCACTGGGATAGGCTCGGCTTTAGTCTCCAGCTTTGGGGATACCCCAGCCCAAGCCCAAAGCCTGACTCAGGCCTTGCCGGAGCTCTGCCGGTGCCGGATTCCAGGCTGGAATTAGGGCACTTCCCAGACCTGCCCGGCTGCTTTCGAGGCAACCGGCGGCTGGCAGGGCTCGGAACCGAGATAAGCTCCTGGAATTGTGCCCTTCCCACGGGGAGATGCAGGGAAGGAGAGCAGAGTCCTCAAAACCTTGGGGTTCGGGACTGCCCCATTCCTGGAGGTGTCCGAGAAGAGGTTGGATGGGGTTTGGAGAGACCTGGGACAGTGGGAATTGTCCCTGGCTGTGCCAGGGGCTTGGGATGGGATGATCCTAAAGGTCCTTTCCAACCTAAACCTTTCCATGGTCCTCTGATTTTCTCGGATCCTCTGATTTTATTGTTCCATGATTTTATGCTTCCGTTATTCTACGATTCCATGATTCTCTGATCCTCTTATTCCATGATTTTCTGATTCTCTGACTCCATTTTCCACGATTTTGTGATTCTGCGATCCCCCTAATTCCATCATTTTGCGATTTTATGATCATGATCCTCTGACTCCATGATTTTCTGATTCTCTGATTCCATAATTCTCTGATTCTATTTTTCCATGATTTTCTGACTCCACAATTTCATGATCCTCTGATACTCCATGATTCCCTGATTCTATTATTCCACGATTTCATCATTCCCCGATCCTGGTTTTTGTCCCGCCGAGGCCGGAGTGGCCGAGTTTGAGAGCAGACAGGGAATTTCACCACCTCCAACCTTCCACCCGAATTTTTGTGCAATATTCCCAAGGGAATTCTCCTCCTCAGGTCAGTGCTGTCCATCCCTCAGAGCAGAGAGGGACAGAACACCTCCGTCTGCTCGGGACATTTTTATTTAAGCAATAAATCAAAGATTTCTGGGATATTTTGTGCCAAATTTAAACCCTGAACTTGCAACGCTCAGGGATTAAAGTCAAACACTTCCCATGGCTGGGAGTGGAGACCTAAACATAAACTTAATCTTAAACCTAATCCTAAACCCTGTCTGGAGATCAGCAGATGTGGCCTGACCTTAAACTGGTTTGGATCCAGTCTGGAAATGCTCTGGAGGTCACCGGGCAGCAACCTCAGCACAAAAATTATGGATATTGCCCAAAGAGGTTCCAGAGTCAGCCCTTGGAAAGGGAGGGAACGTTTTTCCTGGAGGAAAGGTGGAATTGCTTTTCCCATCCCCAGGAATTGCACAAAAATCTATTTTTAGACAAAACTTTGCGAAAATGATGGGAGAAACGTGAGGGAATGGAGGGAACGTGGAGCTCCTGGCCCATCCCAAATGCGCCACAAATTCTAGGGATCGCGACACCGCGGGGAAGGAAATTCCCAGCCCGGCATTCCCAGATGGGAATTGCTGTTCCAGATCCCACAAATCCCAAATTTATCAGGGACCTCCCCGGTGCCAAACAGGTGATTCCCAAGAGTTATTCCAGGAGATCCAAACGGGAGCTGGTGGCTCTGTCCGGGATGTCCCGGAGGTGTCTCCAAGGGTCCCGGAGCTCCTTCGCTTCACTCTGCCAAGAAAACGGATCCAAGTTTTGGGAAATGAGGACCCCTCACCCAGGGCTCCATGCATGCTCCTTAACCTTTCTTCCCACCTCAGATTTGGGGATTTTCCTGCAATTCCCAGATTTTTTTGGGAAGTGAGGAGCCCTGCCTCAGGATTCTGTGGATGCTCCCTCACCTTTTTTCCACACAGTGAGGATCCTTCCCTCGTGATTTCATGGATTCTCCCTGATTTTGCCCCAGGATTCAGGACCTTTGTGCACAGAGGGGAGGATCCTCGGGAACTTTTGCCCTGCTGGATTTCGGCCGTGACTCAGGAGCCGCCGAACCGGCCCGGCCTGGCCCGGGGCTCTCCGGAGGATTCGGCTCCCGCCCATCTCGTTTTTGTGTCCAGCTCCGGGCTGGACATGGCGGTGAACTCATCAAACAAA